CACCCTGCCCAGGCTGCCCTTTCCACCAGCCCCCTCACCTGCCGCCTCCTGAAAAGTGAGCACGCCTCCGTGGCCAAGTCTCTGCCAGCTCAGCACAGGGCCCCCCCCAGAGCGTCGGTGGTTCTCAAAGTAGAGTGTGAGCAGCTCATCCGGGATGTCGGGGGGCAGCCCGCTGAGCTCCACTGCCGGTCCCCCCTCCTCTGCCTCTGCCATCGCAACCCTGGACGGGGACCAGCGGGTAGGGTAGCCGCCCCACAGTCCAACCCCACCCCTTCCAACCCCCACCAGCTCCCCTTGCCCCCACAGCCTTCCCGGCACCCCCTTCATCATGGGCAACCCACACCCTCACTTACACGGCCCGGCTGCTGGGGCCGTCCCAAGCCTGCTGTGGCCTGGTCCAGGAAACAAAAGTGAAACTGTCTGAGGGGAGGAGAAAGGGAGGGGCCTGCAGCCGGGCTGGGTGTCTGCCTCCTGCAGGCAAGTCCTCAGGCAGCACCACCCCCCCTCAGTCTGAAAAGCCCCAGGGGGTGTGGGCTGGGCATGACCACTCCACCCAGCCACCAGCCCCATTGTCCCACCTGCCACTGACTGGCAGGGTAGGGGGCGTGACCCCTACTGTCCTCCACTCCCATTGGCCTCTCTCTGTGAACCTTCAAATGGCCAATCACCCTTCCTACTAAGTCCACCAGGGGGCTCTGGTCACTGCCCGGACTCAGGGACCTCAGCCTGTGTTCCCCTCCCCCACAGCCTGAGCCGGTGGGTCCCAGGCATGCCCCCAGCTCAGGCTGGCTTTCAACTCCCCCCCCCCACCCCCCGCAGCCTACCCACACCAGCTCCTCGCCCTTTACACCTAGCAGGTGGCCGGGCCTCACACTAATGCTTGTTGAGGGTGAGCAGCTCCTACCCTTGACCTACAAGTGCTTCCCAGCACAGCCTTCCTCTGCCTCCTCGACTCCCTCCTCTGGCTCTCTCCCTGGTCTGTGCACCTGCCCAGTCTTCCCGTCTTCCACCGTCATTGTTGTCATCACGGCCAACCCCCGAAGGTGCAGCGAATCCTCGTCACAGAAAGGGAGATGGGGGTGCAGACGGGGCCCGTGGCAGTGCTCACACCCCGGCTTCACCTTGAGAATCCAACTCCCTCTCGCAACAGAGCCCTGCCCCCCACCCCCCATGCTCCGTTCCCTCCCAGCCTCTCAAAGAGGTTGCTCACGGCTGTGCGCTCCCTCCCACCTCCCATTTACCCATCAGCCTCCACCCCTGCTGCTCCTCGAGGGGACGGAGGACCTGCAACCTGCACGCCCAGCAGCACACCTGGCCTCTTGGCTGCCCCCACCCTGGTCTGAGCCTCCTCATCTCTCACTTGGATCTCTACACCCACCTTCTAAGGCACCTCCCTCTGCCACCCCCACCCACCGCACTGTCCCTCCTCCACGGAGCAGGCATAGTGAGCCTCGGGAGGTGGCACCCACAGCTGCTGCAGCCTGGGGCATGAGAAAAGCCAGTCACTCACAGGAAAAACCAAAGTCCTTTGGGGGGCCTGCCAGGCCCTGCCTGATTGAGCCCCAGTTCCCTCTGTGGCCCCGTCCCCCCTAAACTCCCCCCGCTCAGCCAGCCCCAGCCTGGTCCTGCACAACAGCAGACTGACCCACCTCTGTCCCTGCACTGGCCTTTCTCACAGAGCCACTGGACACCCTTGCCCCCTACCCTGCTCTTAGTAGCAGATTTACCTGGAAGTTGGAAGTCTTTAAGGACCTTGTACAGGCCACTTCCAAGGCCCTGACCTCAACTTCATCTTTGTCGTTTTCTATTGTTTCCTAAATGGTAGGAGCTTTTAGTCCCGCCACGCACGAATGCCTCCCTGCCGGCTCTCTGTCTTCTCTCCTCGCAGAACGCGCCAGCTCCTAGCGCACTGGGTAACTCAGCCAGCCTGCTGCTCCCTGCGGCAGGCAGAGCTCCGCCCGGGCAGCGGCACTGGAGCAGCTCGTGTCATGGCCGGACGGTTGCAGGTCTAGGAGCCGGTTGTCACACTGGTGGCAGCTTGAAATCAGCCACGAGCACGTGCAAAAGGTGCACATCAGGGCTCGCCCTCGCTAGACCCAGGTGTCAACCACAGAACCAGCACATCAGGGCACAGGACAGAGCCTTTCCCAACCACTGCAGGGCCTGGGAGAGGCCAACCATCAGGAGCCAGTATTGTCCAGGCCCCGGGCCCCAGGCGGAGAGGCTGCAGCAGGGGTGTCCTGGGGTGTCCCTGGCTGTGGCCGCCAGCACCCCCGCAGGACGGCCCTGGAGCTGAGGGAAGAGTGAAGCCTCGGCCCCTTAGCAGCGACCCGGGTGTGAGGACTGCAGCCTGTGGGACTGGAATGACTTGCTCTCCCGGGACAGGCGACGGAGCGACTGAGTAACCAGGCCTCGGGTCTGGGAGAGGCTTGATGGAAGGGAAAGTGGCGTTTAGGGCCGAGAAGGGAGGGAGAGGGCCGGCGGCCTCGGGGTCCCGGGTTTGCGATGACAGGTCAGCCCCGGACCCAGCTGGCCGGGCAGCGTCT